CTGCACGGGGCCGTCCGTGGGGCTGAAATGCAGAGATACCCCGTATGTTATCTGCGAAAAAACACAATCATGTGCATGCATGCATGCATGCATGCATGCATGCATGCATGCGGGGGCGCATGCTTCTTAACATGTATGCATTGGCCCTTGCACACGTGCTCCTTTGCTTGCATGCATGCATGCATGCATGCATACAGAAGCAGTTTATATGCATGCATGCATGCATACAGAAGCAGCTTATATGCATGCATGCATGCATGTATACACACGCATGCATAAACGAAAGCACATGCATGCATGCATGCATGTATACACACGCATGCACACACGAAAGCAGATGCATGCATGCACGCATGCATGCATGTATACACACGCATGCATAAACGAAAGCACATGCATGCATGCATGCATGTACACACACGCATATGTAAAGGAACCTGCATGCAAGCATGCATGCATGCATGCATGCATGCATGCATATACAGTGGAGGGTGGTGGTTGCGTACCGCATCTCCGCGTGTGAGTAGAGTTGGCTGCTGTTGAAGGTGATGAAAGCGGAGAGAAAGTTTATCGTTTTCTATAATTTTTATTTCAATAAAATTATAATTAAGCCACTCAACAGCAGAAAAGCCCCAAAGAGGGTCACTTGATGATGCATGCAAATGCATGCGGTACTGCTGCAGCAACAAACCTGATGATAGGTCAGAGACACCCCGGCTGTAACGCACAAACGAATCGTCCACTGCCTAAGCAGCAGCAGCAGCAGCAGCAGCAGCAGCAACAGCAGCAGCAGCAGCAGCAGCAGCAGCAGTAGCAACAGCAGCAACAGCAGAAGCAGCAGCAATAGCAGCAGCAATAGCGGCAGCAGCAGCAACAGCAGCAGCAGCAGCAGTTGCAGCAGCAGCAGAAACACCAGATAAATAAATAAATAAATAGTTGATAGATAAATAAATAAAATAATATATTGTTATACAAACAAACGAACAAGTAAGAAAACAACCAAAAGAAAGAAGAAAACAAACAAACAAATAATAATAAACAAATAATAAAAAAAACATAGAAAACAAAGCAAGAAAGCAAACAAAGAAAGAAAAAAAAACAAAATTAAATGAACAAACAAATAAAAAAGAGACAAACAAACAAACATGCATGCATGCATGTATGCATGCATATATCTCTCTTTTTCTTTCTTTTTTTTTTCTTTTTATTTATCTTACTTTTATACGCAGCGAGCGGGAGACCCCGAGTTCATCTTTGTTAA